CCTACACATCATGGAGAGTTTCCAGACGCGAAGGCCAGGAGATTCATGGCGACACTGAAAGAGAAAGCATAGTCCCGAGGAAAAGGAAAATGCAGAACAGGCAGCTTTAGTGGATTTTTAAGGGTTTCTCAGATAGTCTCATTGTCCACAGCATCAGAAATTCAACTTTCCAAAAGCCAGGCAACTCAGCAAAGCCCTCTTGCTCTCCTCAACACTAACCCTGTATTGAAATATTTTTTTGATTTTGACGTTCCTTGCAGATATCACTTTATATATGCGAACACTAATAGTCATTTTATACAGTAACTTTTATCATACATTATACATTATATCATACAGTATATTAATATACAACTGAGAGAAGACAGCATATCATTTTTTGAACTATGTTTCATTTGTGTTAGCTTTATTGCAGAAATGGCTCTATACGCTAATAAAGCATGTAGCATCTTTAAATAACAGGTCTTATAATTTGTGAGCTGCTTAGTTTTGTACCACTTGATGGAATCAACTTACAAAACGCTTGTGGGGTGGGTACTCTTAGAGAGCCAGGCGATTGTACTCCTGGTAAGAGCAGCAGCCCCCAGGAGCCTGTCCTGGGGCGTATGATACAAGGAGAGACCCCTGCCAGCCCACTGCAAGGCACTTATAGACACACAGCGACCCTGGCCAGACGGGAGGAAACTGCAGCACCCATCTAGTAAAAGCCCAGAAGGACACAGAGAGCCATGTGCAGGCTCCTCATAGGAAGCACACCTGGCCCAGAATCGAACCCAGGGCCCAGATGAGGTGTTAACCACCGTACTGCCCCATTAAAACATCATATTGGTACTGTACATACTGGCAAACCATTCATTTTCTAGCTTTAGGAAGAGAGTTTCAAATACAAATAAGTGGAGGAATGACCTAGTGCTAGATTTCACCAGAAATACGAACCCTGTTGTTTAATCTACAAATAAATAATTTCTTGCAGAGCGACACTCACAGGACCCCTGAGTGACTGTTGTCGTTCAAAAAGAAATTGCTTGATTGAATTGCATTGTTAACTGTACTAATGAGTTGCACAGCTGGAACTGGATTATGATAAAAAGACATATACAAGGCTTTATTCCCTTATTATTTTATTCCCAATAATGTATATTGTTTATATGTTACAGTTTGTTTAGTTGTTGTGTTGTGGTTTGATGCTCTAAGGTCATACTGGAACTATATTATCAGCAGTGAAAAATGAAGGAACCATATGTTTTATTTTTCAATAAACCTTTGCATAAAAGCATTGTACTCTTTGAAGCAGGTTAACAAACATTGAAACTATTGGATCATACAGTATATGACTAAACAGAATTTTACGGCGTGTACAAGGAACTTAAGATGATAAAATGCTTTATTTTTTTCTATAACACAATTCCACATACGGTACAAGATTTGCAAATCTTATGAACGTGTGAATATGTTCATATGTGAACACCGTGATCCAGTTAGTGGAATTTGCATTATGTTTAAAGTATTTCACTTCAAAAGCAGCAGTGACCCCAAGACGGTCATCGATCTATCCCTTGCAGAGTGGGGGTGTCATTCTCCCCTTCCTACAACGATG